CAGAGATGAGGAAGTGGACAGAGATGGGGGAGGGGACAGAGATGGGGGAGGGGCAGAGGTGGGGGAGGGACAGAGGCAGGACAGGAGGCAGGCTGGTCAGTGGTGAGAAGGGAAGGGACCAGCAGAGCACAGGGCAGCCCTGGCCCTCATGCCCATCCCTTGTGACCCTGGTCTGCAATACAGAATTCGGGGAGGCTGTGTGAACAGTAACTGCACCAGAAAAGCAGGCGGTACAGAGGACTGCCCGCAATCGTGAGCGCGGGTCTGAGGGAAGCACAACACAGCCTGACCCCCCTTTCGCTGCTGACTCCCTCACCTAAAACTGTACCACCAGCAGGGGCCTGAGGAAGGGTCCTCTCCCACACTCCCTGCCTCCTGCCGTCGGGGCCCCGGACCCTGGGGGACCCCACCTGGCACGTGAGGGCTACCGGCCCCTCGGGCCCCCCGGACACGTGTAGATCTGTGGTGGGTGGACAGGGGTATGTGCGCCGCCCCTCCAAGAGCCAGGCCCGGGATGGGAGCTGTGAGCCTAGGAGCCTGTCCTCCTGCAGCCCAGGGGACCACGGGCTGGGGCCAGCCACCCCCGCCCAGAGGTTCTGCCCCCATGTGCCCTGCTCCAGGCTCCCTCCAGAGGCCTCCCTGCCCTTCAGAAGCTGCCCGACCTGGGCCTCAGGCCATTCTTCGCCACAGGAGGCTACCATTCCCAGGAGGGCTCCGGGCACCTCACTCGCAGCCATCAGGCCTTGTCCCGAACCCTTTCCACATCACCCTCCAACGTCCCCTCGTCCCCACTGACCAGGCCAGGCGCTTAAGACGCCCATGTGTCCCAGTGAACAGAGCCCCTCCCCTCCAGCACCCACACCACACACCTGTCCCTGAGAGCCCTGTGCCCCTGAAGAGCCCAGCACTCGCCCTGGCCGGCCGGTTGGCCTCTCCAGGGCCTCGGCTGCATGCTGTCCCCTGGGGGGCAGGATGGCTTCCTGTCGCTGCCTCAGCAAACAACACACGCCTCACGGCCAAGTCAAGGTGATCTACACAGGGCCGCTTCCTTCTGGGGCGCCTTGGAGAATCCGTCCCTCTGTCCACCTCCCAGAGGTCACCACATCCTGCTCTTGTAAGGATCCAGGACCTGCCCACCAGGCTGGTGTCACTGCTGCGACTTCAGCTCAGGAGGCTCCGTCGGCAAAGCGCGCTGCAGGCTCCGGACAGTGCCTCCCCCGGGTCAGACTCCCGGCCCCCCTCCACAGCCCCCAGGAAGGGTCCTCCCAGCCCCAGGCAGCAGGGGCTCCAGCCCACCCTCCCCCAGCAAAGGCGTCACCGTGGGGGTTCTGAGTGACCAATGGTGGAGGCCGTCTCCGACCTTACAGCCTTCAGGCTTCATGGGCCCGGGAGTCCCTGTGCCCCCAAGGACAAGTCAGCCCCTCCGGCTGCAGCCAGGACTCAATGAGACCAAGCATGGCAGCACGGGGCCTGTGAGCGCTCAGGAAATTGCCGCAGCTGTTATCACAACCATTAATAATTACACTCGCAGACGAAGGTCTCTGGAAACCCTCGTAACTCAACCTCCACCCAACTGCACCTATCCCAGCCCCACCCCCACTGTGTTCCCTCCCCCAAAGAGGCAACCTCGAAGAAACCCTTTGACAAAAGGCCATCAGCTGTGGCGCACCTGCCGGGAACACCCAGGAGCGTGGGGCCCCTGGCAGTTCCTGCCCCGCCCAAGGAGCAAGCCATTGCGACCCCAGTCCTCTGCTCCCGGACGCAGGGCAGCCTGAAAGGGCCCATCATCCCCACGGAAGCGCCCACAGGGCAGGCTGGCCTCTTCCCAGCCGCACCCCTAGGCCAGCAAGGGCCATCATCTTCAATGCGCACCCTGCCACATAACCAGCAGCCATCGAGCAGGGAGCCACTGCAACACCAGGCCCGGGGGGCAGGCGTGCGACACGTCGGCGGCAGTCCAGCCAAGCCCACCAGGGCCTGACCGTGCCGGCCGGGCGGTGACCCCCCTCTGTTGGGCGGCCAGGCGCCCATGCCAAGCCCCCGTGCCCCAGACCCCTCGGGACCTCTCCCCGGGGCCTGTGGCCAGGAGTCTGTCCCCGGCTGCATCTGCAGGGCAAGACCCCACTGTGACCTCTGGCCGGGCTCACGGCCCTGGAAGAGGCCCGGCCGGTTCCAGGTGGCAAGCTGGCAGCGGTGCGGTCTCAGCTCCACCTTGCCAGGCCGCACAGGGCCCTGCTCTGCTCACAGACACCAAGGGCCTGCCTCAAGAAACGGCCTCTGTGAGCCGCTCCAGGAAGCAGCCTGCAGGGCCAGAACGTTCCAGTGTCACCATCTCGCTCCCTCTGGGAACAGAGCAGGCCTTTGTCTGCCATTGTGGCAGTCATCAAATATTTACAGGGGCTCACGGCCCATTTCAGGCAGGCCGGCAGTGAGCCAAATGCCGGGCTTCCCGGACACACAGAGGTGCAGGTGATCGGGCGGCTGCCCCCTTCCCCAGGCCCGAGCGTGCCCACCGCGGCCTGGTCCTCGCTGGCTGCACACGGAGCCCAGGGCCGGCCGGGACCGGCCAGCCGTCCACGCCTGGGCCTCCAAGGGAGCCGGAAGCAGTGACGTGCGTGCGCGTCCACCCGGGTGGGCACACACACAGGCACCTCGTGCTGCGGAGGACCAGGGGGAGAGCAGCACGACGCCCACGCCCACCACAGCCTGCCTCTCGCCTGCAACATCCAAACGCAGCTGCCCCTGTGTCAGCAGCAGGCATGTGGTCCCACAGACCAGGGACCCCAGGCACGGTGGGAAAGGGACAGGAGGCCGGCCGGTACAGCCGGGCCGAGCGCCGAAGGGCATCCTGACGTGCACAGGAAACAGCACACACACCGTGCGGGCCACGTGTGGGTTCCAGGGCGCACGCCACCTCCCGGACAGCATGTGGGCACCCTGCCAGAGCCCAGGGCACACATCTGCACCCGGCGGGGCCCCGACGCCCTGACCGGCTTCCAGCAACGCTGCTTCTAAAACAACGAAGGCAGGGCACCTGGGTGACTCTGTCGGTTGCGTCCGACCTTGGCCCAGGTCATGATCTTGTGGTTGTAGGGTTCAAGTCCCACGTCGGGCTCTGTGCTGACAGCTCGGAGCCTGGCGCCTGCTTCAGATTCTGTGTCTCCCTCTCTCTTCGCCCCTCCTCCGTTCGCACTCTGTCTCTCTCGGTCTCTCTCTCTCTCTCTCAAACATAAATAAAACATTAAAAAAAAAAAAAAAAGAAAGAAAACGGAGCCACGAGCACAGCACCCTCAACCATTCCACATGTGCAGAATCCCACCTGCCCCCCTGTTTTAGGGGCGCCTGGGTGCCTCAGGTGGTTAGGCGTCCGACTTCAGCTCAGGTCATGCTCTCACCCTCTGTGGGTTTGAGCCCCACGTGGGGCTCTGTGCTGACAGCTCAGACCCTGGAGCCTGCTTCAGATTCTCTGTCTCCCTCTCTCTCTGCCCCTCCCCTGCTCACGCGCACATGCTCTCTCTCTCTCAAAAATAAGTAAATGTTAAAAAAATTAAGAAAGAAAAAACAAAAAACAAAACAAAACCATTCACTATTTTCACCTGCTTTTGCTTCATCTCATTTCTAGCTGATGTCCCTCAACTGGTCCACCCCATCCCTGGAGGGGGGCACCTCCCACTTTCGCTTAACTTTCCTTCCACAAAATGCACAGACCCCCCTCCCTCTCCAGCCCCGGGGAGCCTCCCTGCAGGCGCCCTGGGCACGCCATCCAGCAGGCATTCACCGACCTGCCACAGGCAGCCAGGAGGGACAGGAGGGAGCAGACAAGCCCCCAGGGACTGCACCCACACCAGCACATGGTGTAGGTAGGGCAAGCGGTCCACTGGTGTCCAAAGGCCAGGAATCCCATCCACAGGTATCCAGGGATGCCCCACCTCATGCCCCCCAGCACCCCCTGCCAGGGTCTCTGCCCTACCCCTCCCAACCCCAAATCACTCACAGGAGCACGCCTACAGTAACAGACAAACCCCGGTGTTCTCCGTCCCCCCATGGTCACACCAGCCCTCCTGGCCTCCCTCCCCCTTCCCGCGTGGCCGCTCCAGGGTCAGGGCTGCACGGCGCCCCCACGCCTGTGCCACGAGACCTCGCCTAGAACCTCAAACGTCCAGTTCAGCGGTGGCTGTCACAGGAAGAGAACACTCTGGCTGGGATGCTCCCAAGGAAACGTCGAGAAGCCTGCCAAAGGACAGACGGCCACCACCCCTGGCAGCTTCTGTCCCTCAAGCACCCCAACAGTCCATGTGACAAGACAGCCCCATGTCGTGCTAGAGGAACACACGCTAGTGTGGCTCACACACATGTCAGGGCGAGGTGGGGTGTGGTCTGTGTCCCCAGCACCCAAAAACATGCAGCCCTCTAGACCATTCCATCAGGTCCCCTAGGACCAAGCCCTGCTCTGCCTGCGGCCGTCCAGAGCCAGGCCTGGGGAACCTGCTCCCCTCTAGGAGCACAGGACGGCCCAATGGCCTGGGGCCCCTCAGGCTGCGGACAAACGATGACTCTGTG